AAAACTTATGTACAAGTTTGTAATCCCCCTTACCTAATATAACAGGAATAAGCTTTGCTATTATAAAAGCAACTTCCCGCCCGTCAGCCTAATTTGATTTTCTAGGCATTTATGCAAAGCATCCTCATGATGTGCGGCAGTTTCGCAAAACTGATTGCTCCGCTGGTAACGATGTATGTACGAAAAAACTAGCATTAACTAGCATCACTCGTAACATCGATTGCTTTTCAGGTACCTGTTCAGTTCCCATGGCCCAATGGCCGTTTGGTCCATGCCTATACTGTTGATGGTCAGCTCGGTGGTGCTCGTCAGCACCACCTACGATATTCTCGTTCCTCTGGAATTGCACTCGCACCTAAAATCCGGACAATCATTGACTTCCACCGGAGGCTCGTTTTCGAAGTTCTAATAACCAACCATTATACTGTCCATTTCTTTTGTGACACTTTACGAGATCCGCCGTTGCTGTCGGTTAGTCCATGTCTCGCAAGTGTGAAACTACGTGCATAGCGTAAAGCACCGAAAGTTCATCTGATCGTAGAACTCAGTGCACCGCTGCCTACAAAATTTTTATGCTACCATTCTAAACGATAGACGTCCTGTTGAAATTCTATACTTTTCGAAAAATTAAATTTTGCTGTGCTGCTGGATAAGATTCTGTAAACTGTAGCTAATTAGTCGTCCAAGTAGTTCATTCTAAATACAATTCACTCGTTTTGAGCAGAGTCTTCTGCGAATAAGGGGTTATTAATGTAATCGAAAAGGACAGAAAGCAGCCTGCCTGCGCTCGATAATACATAGCCAAAACTGCTCTGAGGAGGATCAGAGGCATAAATCAAAAATTTGTGGTAGAGATTTGTGCTAACTCAACTCATTAGCAACCACTTACTTTGTTTTTGGAAATATTTTGAATTCATTAGTTGAATTTTTTCTACGACACGTCTGCATACATTTTTTTTAAATTCTACCTAAACGAATTTTTCATTTTAACCAGTTCGTTATTCAGAGGCTGGATTTCTCTGCACACTTGAACTCTGAAGCACTATGTGTTAACCATGATGGCAGAGCGCACTATATTTGCAAAAGACAGCTGTTCATAAAATGACTAAAGTTTCTCTGAAGTCTTTTAAGTACAGAAATTTATGTTTAACTAATTTCTGTAGTTTAAGTCAATTAAGTTTCCGCTAATGTGTACAGAGAACGTCATTCTGTGTAAACGACGCAAGTAGTCAATAGTAACTATGGACTATGGTATAATGATAGTTTGCAGCAAACCGTTTTATAATCTATAAACGGAACTATCACCATAATAAAAACAGAGTGGAATGATCGATCGATTGAACATAACAAGCCATCGTAACAACAAATCAAAATAATAGAATAATAATATAACAGAAGTAACAAAACAGAAGTATTACCGCAAGAATATAACAAGTCGTCAGCGACGCTAAACCCAGCTATCGCCGGCAGGCTCATCCGTGTTCACTGACGAAACGTGGGCAGACTGTGCTCTGGTTGGTCGATTCCTGGTCTTGTGCACTTCTGAGTACAAAGGATCGCCCTGTACATGAATCAGTTACGTCTTCGATTAACACAAATGAGAACCAGAAAAACCAACTTACCATTGTTAAAGAGGTTCGCGATAGAGTGGGCGGTGCGCCGCTGCTGATTCCATGCGGAAAATTAGAGTAACTAGTGTAATCAGTACTACAGTAATTGGTGGGCGTCAGAGGTTCGGTTCGCAGGTTCAAGCTACCAAACTGAGATCGGACGTTGTTTTCGCTGCCTAAGATACAGCAATTTAATTATAACTGAAGAGCGTAAGCCGGAAAGCGACGACTGTTTACAACCCCTCGTAAGTCAGCGGCACTGCTTAACTCCTACCATCGTGCACTCAGTCCCAATTAACTTCTCGGTGCTGTCAACTACGGGCCTAAGGCCCTTTCAGTCGTGATTCCGTGCTAAATTAATTACACGTACAGAAAGGTATTTATATGCATTGTAATAAACTTTTATACACGTGAATTAAAGTCCGTCATTGGATATCTGTTTTCATTCGTAAGGCATCCATTAATCTGCAACTCATTTGACCATCGATCAGTTTTTGAATTACTTAAGGGCAAATGGCTTGCTTCATTCGCCTTCTAGCGACTGGATTTTTAAATCATTAATTACGCAACTGATTAGAGGTGCTTACAAGGCATATGCTCTTACGTTTAGTACTGTGGCTAAGAAATGGCATCATCTATTTGTTAATATTAAATATGATATTGAGATTTAAATAAGGTCAAACTTTCTCTATGATCATCGCAATATTCAGTCGTTAACGAGGTCTTGAACATATTCTGAACAATGCGACCTTGAATTATATTCATTTGTATTCGAGTTCTTCAAACAGCATCTGGGAACGGTATCACTGTTTACCGATCAGGACACATTTTATATTCCTTATATTCATTTTCGATGAAGTTGAGAGACCTGTCTGAAGCAGGACTATGTTGTCTATGCGATGCCGTCTACACATATTAAATTTTGAGATCACACATTACATCTTAAAGCGCGTTAAACTGAGCTAAAGAGAACTGTGCCATCGTTTTGAACATGTCCACCAATTTAATATCATTAACACCTTTATGAACAAAAGAGTTTTAAGTATCTTGCAATGCGTAGATCATCGATCATCTCTCTATCTGTCACTTGTTACTCCTTGATTCGCTTACACTATGTCACAAAATTTCAAACTGACCTGGCAACCTTTGGGCGTAATCCTCAACGCCCGGAGTGCCGACGGGTCTTGTTAGGGTATCCACAGAGCCGCGCATTGTTCCGGGCAGTAGCAAAAAGTTCTCGTCTTTGAATCCAGATCTGTAGAACATGTCGTGAAGGTCCTTATGCTGCCACATGGCCAGAAGAACCTAAACATAGTGTCAAAAAACTGATCAGCAGATTAACTGAACGTTGCTCTCAATCGTAGCAACGGAGCGGCCTACTACACTGAGAGCCAGATTGTTTTATTTTTCAATATACATTAAATTATGAACACTATATGTACTATGAAAATTAGTAAAATTTGATTTTATTCTTTGCGGACGATAGAATGACACTTCACTACTTCAGATGACAATGAACCTTACATTTGTGCATACTGGATAATATTACATGTCCTGAAATCGCCATTGCGTCATCTAAGGCAACTACAGGCTGTTGGCTTGCATGTCATCCACTCTACTGAAAACAATGAAATTTGTGCTAAGCCCCTTCGTCAAAGATATTTTCTCTGTGTCTGAGGATCCCTGGCAGTTCCGCTCAAAAGTAAATACATCAACGTGGACACTATCGTATCTTTTGTGGATCTTGTGAAAAGGAAAATAAAACAAACGGGACGTTTATGCGCTGCCGTCTACTTGACGATAGGTCTGTGTTTAACCGACGATTCCAACAGCAGGCGTGTTGAGTAATTAACGAATTGCTTTCTCTCTACCTCATTCCTTTCATGTCTCTCTGAATATTTCTCCCATACGCTGCTGCTTACAGTGATTGGAAAAGAAACATCAACTTTGCGCAGCAAGAACATCGGTGTTTTATTCAGTTCGGTATATAAACCAGCTCTTTTTCC